TTTTCAGCATCTAGTTTCCTGTGAGTCACTTCAGAGAATGGAAAAATCCAGCACAGCATGACTATTCATTCATGTGAGTGCTACCAGTATGATCTTCAAATACAGTCTGTTAACTCTGGGCTAAATGCTATTGTTATCCTTTTTGACTAAATGGTTAGACAGTTTTCAGAGTCTTTCAGAACATTCAAAAAGGAGTTACTGAAAACGGAATTTGCTACTTCTACAGTACTACAGTTCATTTACACAATCCATATATTAAGTACTCTTTTTCCTGAAAATGAGAAACATCAAATAACTGGAATATTATCTTCAGTCATAGAATTGTTTTTCCATCACATAGTCCCAAATTGTTTTTCTTTTCAGCTTTCCTTTCTGGATCCCAGTGTCTGATGCTTCCGTCTCTCAGCTTTGCTTGTTTTTGTCACAAACACAGAGAAATGACATTTACTAGGTTGGAAGGATACCCTTACAAATCAGGTAGGTCAGTCTCTCTTCTAGGATTGCACAAAACTTATTTAGGACATACATTCTCTTTGCTTCAGCTACCAATTCCATAAAATGTTCAGCTGGTTCGACCTTCCCTGTAAATGAAAATACCTAGCAGCACCCTATCTACCTTCTGCATGCTACCTTCTGCAAACTACCTTCCAACACAGTTTAAGTCCATCCCCAGCAGCATCACAGCATGGCAGAAAACAATGGACTGAACTGAAAAGCCTTGCATTGTATCTCCAGAAGACCTATATTTGTTCACAGGATCCCACAACTGACATCCAAGAGATTTAGTATGTCTAATCTTAATGCAAAATTAAATAAATAAATTAAAAAGTGAATATTTTTTCTTCTGGGACTTCCGGGAGCCAAGATAATTTCCACATTAAATGGGATGATGGCACCATTCCAAGAAAGGAAAGAGCTGGAAGGGAAGCAGATTCAAGTATGTGTCCTGTCTCCACTACAGCAAGCCTTATTGCATTATATTTCACTCAAATGCAATTCCATAATGATAATAAATTACATGGGTCTTCAACTTGGTGTTATAGGACTAAGTAGTGCTACATACTGTTTAGTCTTTAGAAACAGAATTCACAAAGAAAGAATTGAAATGTATTCATCCTCAGTAAGTAATCTAGATATTTAGGTGCATTTAATGTTCAAAAAATTCAGCAGAATTTGGGTCACTTAGACTATAGCTGTACTCTGAAATAAACTAGGTCCATTACCAACCCTTTGGTGAATTGACCAGTATGGTTAAACTTTCATATCCTATAGAGAGGGTGGCTGCATTCATGAGGGTATAGGCATATAGGCCCTGCTTCCACCATCTGCACAAACTAGCTGTGGCAAACCCTGGGCTTCTTTTTTACTCCCATTTGGAGTAAAATATACTCCTTTCCAAGAGTAATTTAAAAGAAAGTATTTCAGACGTTTAATGCTTCTGTTAAATCACTAACGTTTACCTGTTTGTATGCTGTTTAATCAGATTTATTCAGATACAAATATGTGTTTGTACTGTTTATGAATTTTTAATGTTAATTTTGCTGAATCTTTGAGCAACACAAACCACAAAATAGGGAATAGGGGCTTACTTCTGTCAAAGCAGAAACAGAATTTAAATGGGAAAAATCTTGCAAAGATGCCTAATAAAACTTAGTGGAGTAACGTACATAGATGTCAAAGATCTGTTGAAGGCTAAGTGGAGGTTAAGTTTTCTAATTTTCATTTTACTGTATCAGTGATAGCAAACTAGGCTTATTCTTATTCTTATGAAACCCACCTACCTCTGTTTTGTAGACAATGCATGGTTTTATACTGCCAAAGCTATCCATATTCAGCTTTTATTACAGGTTTACTGGTGCTCCATCAGACACCAGTTCTAAGCTGTCCTGTCACCTAAGCAGAGGACAGCAGAGTATAAGCCCCATTTTATTTCAGTGCATTACCTCCCTCCATCCTGGTAAACAAGCTAAGAAGCCAGCTAATGCAGCTGACATCTCAAATTATGTAATTTCTCCTAATACATGCCAGAAATGCTATTCAGTCCTGCGACACACGGAGGAATGCTGTTCAAAACCTTGGCTTCTGGCTCAGTAGCATGATCAGTGGTACAAAGGGTACTCAGCATGCAATGGGCAACACTGAGCTATGCTGGGAGAGAAAGGAAGGCTCCATAACCATCATCCTTTGCTACATTCTTCACAAAAATCTACCACACATAAAAGGTAATCACAGTGACAGGGAGACAGAGACGTACTGGGAAAAGATGGCTTGTGGTGAAAATCTAGGTTTAGGATCAGCACTTTATATTCCTGTGAGACAAGGAATTTTATGTCTGCTTTAGCACTGCTGAAATTTGCAGATTTTTGCAAGAAAGACATACAAGAACCAGAATCATTGTCACCTTTCTGCCTGAAGTTCTCTAGAAAAAAAAAGCGTATATTAGGCTGGCAGATTGAAGGTGCTGCCCCTCCTTTTAAGGGAAACCCAAGGATTAAAAAGATATCTGTCAGCAGCAGCTGGGCTGCTCAGTTATTCCTTGTGCAGCATTTGTGATCAATTCTCAGCAGAACCCCTAATAATATTTCACAGTATTACAAAAAGCCTCCTCCTCTTCTGACTGCAGTTAGTGGTAGCTGTGCCGTTAAATCCTTGGGGAGCAGCAGAGGCACAGCTGTTGACCCCAGCATCAGCATCACACTTGTGTGCACGGGATTCTCAGTCGTGTATTTGCAATATGTGGAAAACTGACAGAAGACAAAACACTTGATATTGACCTACCAATAACAACCCGCCTTCAGGATTTAACAGGTCAGACTTTTTTTTTTTTTTTGTGAAAAAAAAAAAAAAAATTCAGATTTTTTTTTTGTTGTTTGAATATGTATGTCTAAACTCTGCATGGTTCTGTTTATGAGCTCTAGGGGTCTAGGACAGGCACTGAGACCTCCCACTCACTAGAAAGTTCATGTCGTTATCTACATTCACTTGTGGGAGGCCCAATCATAGCCAAAACCAAAGAACAGGATAGAATGTATTTTATTTGTTCTAAGTACTTGGAAATTTAGAACTCTCTCTGAGAAGAGATTCTAGTTTGCAGCCTTCTGGGAATGACTCCTGGCCTACACCAATGCCCAGAATATGGCCAGGCAGTGGCTAGGACAATGCTAATACACCCCGGTGATAAGTCTGCCAGTGACTATTCCAAAACTTTCTCAGTGTACATGTTCAGGTTTCTGTATGCAGGTTTCTGTTCTGGAAATGTTTAATTTACCAGCAGGAAGACAGACAGTTGATATGAAACTTTGAGAAAGTCAACAATCTTCTCTTGCCCTGTTGCCTTCAGAAGGGCCACTCTTAACAAGCCACAGTTGTTAGATGGCTATCCCTTAGCACATCTTATCCCATGAGGATAATTGCCCTTTTGCAAGACCCACAGCTTTCAGAGACATTTACAAGAAAATCATTCGCTGAAGACTCACAACATATGTCTCCACCATAGCTGAGAAACTATGGGCTTCTCATCTTGAAAGTCCTCTACTCCCATTGACATATACTCAAAAGCTGAAAATAAACCACCTTCTTTGTTTCCTGGGGACTTTCACAAATTCAGACTGAACCAGTAGATATAGCCAGCATACCTCAAACCCAAAATTCAGCCCAGATAAAATGGCTGAGGACATAAGAAATTCAAATGTTGCTTCCAACCACTGTCATTAAGAGCTCACCTTTCCATGTTTGGAAATCAGTCAGGTGGAGGTCTGCCACCAATACTTATGTTATATGCCACATTTTTTTTTACCAGTTTAAACTAATATTCTAGAAATCCTTCAGATTCAAATTCAGAATTCAGCTCAGGTGCCTTGGTCTCTGGCACCCTTTGAGATGCCACAAGGTATCCTGCCTGGATTGTAGTTGCCAGTTGAAAGCAGAGACTGTCAGTCTTGTTTTGTGGTATTTCAGAAATCTTAGAGCAGCACACGGTACAGCCACCTTTGTTTGGGCCCACAGAGATGTGTGAGCAAGCTACAGAAAACAATAGAGTCGTAAACTGTTCTTTTCGCTAACAGTGAAAGTTGATGGTTTTCTTCCAGATTGTAAGCTAAATAATTAAATTTAATTAAGTCAAAAGGAATCTTGCCTAAGGATTTTGTTATGTTTTATTTTATGAAATATGAGTCACTATGGTATACTATACATGGTATTACCTACAAAACAATAAACAACATTTGATCAAAGGTTTCAATCTTAGTTTTTTCATTTTATGTATTCCTCCCAGGCAAAAAGAGCAATTTCCTTAGATGTGAGAAACATGCAGTCACATTAATAGAAGCTGCAGATTTGAAATCAGGCTAACACTTTGAAACTGTCTTCAGAAGTATACTTACAGTTTAGCTACAAAATGATATTTTCAAAGGATAAAAAGGAGAGAAATCTATTGGAAAATATATATAACTATATATTGTCTTATAGTTTTAAAATTTGCTTTAGTTTTTTAATGTCATATTGTAGGTAGCATGAATAATAAAAACAAAGTCAAACAAAACCCTCCACAATGTGTTTAAATGAGTATGATACCACATAGCTGAAAAATAAAGCATTGTACTGATACAAAATGCGTACAATGCTAAATACATGATACAATTACATATTTGTTATAATATCTAGTATAGAATAGATTGTATCTTGTATTTCAGAAAAAGTAATAAATAACAAAGACTTATAAAACAATCCTAGAGAATAAATATTCATAATTTCAAACTTTTGATAAAAATATGGATATATTTCCTTCAGTAAACATAACAAACTCTGAAGTAACAGGCAGTTTTTCATGCAGTAATCACAAGAAACTGTAGCTAATTTAAAACGAGGACACAAAAGTTAGCTCTTTAACTACAGCATCATATTTTCTCATGTATACTGACCACTACCAGTAAGATGCAAATGAAAATTACCTGTCATGACAACTTTCAGAAAAGTGTATAACATGGTATAGTGAAACTTACTTTTGATGGTCTGCCAGTGGTCTTTGTCCAATGGATTTTAATAATGACTCTGGTCGAACAGTTAATTTTGGTGATGTCTTGGGGCTAGTATCAGAGTCTCCACTTTCTTCATCTCCCATGGCCTTAATATAGCTTCCACTTCTCATTCTTCTGCAGGGGATCTCTTCTTCTTTCCCACCAGCTGGGTATCCTCCCCATTCATCCTGAGGTACCTAACATAGACCATAAAATATATATTTTATTTCAACTTGAAGACTGGAAATTTTTGATATATAAATGTTGGAACCTGAGGAAAAGTCAAGTCATGGTTTGTAAGCTGGAACCTGAGCACTTCAGAGTCTTTTACAAACTCTCCTTATATGAGTTTTTGGCTGCTTTTCAGTAAGGTGAACAAAGCATTTAACTTAAACTAAGCTATGATTTTGGCATAAATGGATAGGACTCTGATTCAGACCAAACTTTTTTAGGGGGAAAAAAAAAAAGTAAATGTGGCATTTTATCTTTTTTCTTATTTAGAAGATGTAAATTAGTTCATAGAGGCTGTAACATATCAGGAACATAGGCAGTTAATTATTAATATGTTTGGTTGAGGCTGCTTTCACGTAATTGAGCTGGTTTTTCAAATAGTAAGATGGGTAGACAGATAACCCACAGCTGGTGGATGATCTCTCTGCACCACAAAATGGCAGAGAACTGAACAGGAGTAGATTTTCTATCCAAAGTGAAATCATCCTTCATTTGAGACTTATGTATAAACTCAGCAGGCCTGTCTCTGCCAGTATTGCTGAGTCTTTGCTTTTTGTTTAATCTTCCAAGGCACTGAGTCCTCTGGTCCTAATCCAGAAATACACTTAAGCATTTACTTAAATCATAGGATATAAGAAACACTCCAAAACCCATTATAAAGACTCGTGGTTAAAAAGAAGGATGTGACAGAGTGCATCAGTGGACCAGGGCTGATGCACTTGCAGCATCAAATCCTTTATCAACATAATGACTTCATATATATTAAACAGTACAATAGCATTATTTACCAATATACTATAAATCTGAACTTCCAGTTCATCATATATTAAGTAGTTTCTGCAAAGCAGGATGTCTAATAGAGACTTTCAAGTCAAACATATTTGAGACCATCTACAGACAGAGTTCACTGTGGCGCTGAGGGAAATGCTTCCATTGGTTTCTGTAGTCTTGGAGATCATATTTAAATAACTAAATGCTTTGCCTGTCATTTTACAGCCCTTTCAAGATACACAGATTAGCCACACACCAGGTGAACAGGCCTGGTGTTTTCAGTCCCAAAAAGGGATTAAGGGGGAAATGGAGTTTTAAAAAAGAGGGGTGAACAAGTAAAGATAGAGATATTAAAGAAACAAGTTTGGGAGAGAAAAAAAGAGAGACTCAGGATGAACTCAGATAAGAGATGAAACAGATTGCACAGATCAGAAAAATGATAGAGACAAATATCAGAGAAAAGAAATTATGGGTTATAAACTTATAGGAAGTAATAGAACAGAGCATCAATCAAAATGAAATATGGGTTAGATCATGCAAAGGAACAAACTTTCCATATTATTCAGCTTTGGATGGTATTTGGAAAGGGAGCATGAAAAATATTCCAAAACTTGAAGCCTAAATGTCATTCTCATTTCTTTTCTAAGACCTAATATGTATGAGATTAATGTTGAGGGAAGTTTATTTGAGATTCTAGAAGACAACACTATTTACATGTAGTAATAGTTGTAATAACCAGACTCCTAAAATATACAAAATAAATATATTTTAAAAGCTTTTTTTTTTTTTAAATGTACAGTAGGCAACACTATTAACTGCAAAAATCCGAAGTAGAGAGCTGCATTAAAAAAAACCCAACCTGATAGATGTCATAACAATGTGCTTTCACTTTTAAATCTTCTTTATTACTTGTATGTCAGCAAGGCTAAAAACGTAGTCTAAATGCTGAAAAAGCATTTATTAGCATCTACATGGGCCCACTGCAAGCTATACTGTTCAATTTTCTGTACTAAAGCGGAATGATTATATTCAGTCTTAATATTCTTTTTTCCAAAAAATCATGATTTTTTTCATAGAATAATGGTTTTGTCTTGAAATTCCTTTCCTTCATTTTATCTTGAAGATAATTAAATAGAAAGTTTAAAAAGATATGGATCAATAACCTTTTACTTACTCAAATGCAAAAAAATTATTAGTTTCTTAACTTTCTCTTGTCTGAAATTCCATGTTCAAATAACCAGATAAGGACTGGATTTAATGAGTAAATACAGCGTTATTTCTTGATTGAAGTTGAAATCTTACTTTAAAAGACAGAAATTACAGATTTTTTTACATTAAAGTATCTAAAAAATTGAGTTTCTTCACTGTGATAAGGAGCTCCATGAGGACAAACCTTACAGTTATTTGCCTTACTGTTTTAATTGATTGCATTTCTTTTGCTTTCTGAATTCATGAGTTAAATGCATTCATATAAAAGCTTAACATTTCAGAATCCCTGCTCCATTTGTGCTAGTGATGTACTCGCAGTACACACAAATGCACCAAGAACCTCTTTCAAATGAGAGTAAATTGTTGGCTATCGCAGAAGGATTTATGGTTGAAAAAACATTATTCACAATTAAAATATGTGCATTCTTTTACTCTTGAGCCGTTCAAAAGAGCAGAATGAATGAACATGAACACAGGGAAAATGCTTCTGCAGCCTGGCAAGCAAGTTTGACCATGTGTTTCCTCAGAAGGTTTCATGCAGAGCCTAGGAAAACAGCTGGAGTCCTTTTGCTGTCTTCAAAAGCCAATAAAAGGGCCCTTGACATTGTTTTTCCTCATGGACTGAGAACAGAAGCAAAACCTGAATTCCAGTTCAGCCTGGTTCATCATTTACTTTAGCTGATAGGTTAAATACTTGCTAAAATCTTTCCAAATCCAGGTCACCTCAGTCCCCAACATAGCTTTAAAAGAAAAGCAGAACTATTATACTAGTTCAGGAAAGATTTTTCTTTTGAAATATTAACAAAAATATTTAACAGCATGTGTGATGGTCATTAAAAGCATATTTTCCAAAGCATGAAAAGGGCTTTTTAGCTTGCAGAAATGGTTTCTTACAACAGTTACCAGCCCCTGAAATTCCCATCTGCAAGGCTTGCAGCTGCTAATTGGAAATAATTACCCTAATTATCTACTTGCATATAGTGATGAGTGCTGATATTTATAATGTCTAAAAAGGCCTTCCTCCTGTTCTAGATGTTAACATGAATCTTTGTATACGCAATTTCTATCCACAGAGGAGTTAGACTGCATATTACCATATGAATTTCCTTTTGTAAGAACAACGAGCTGACAAGGTCTGGATCTTTTCATTTAATTTTGTTACTGGCTGCTGATTTGGTTATAACTATTACAGAGAATGATGAGTCTCTTTCATAGATTTCGTGCGCTGTTTCTGTGAATAGCACAACCAGGTTCAGAAAATTTGGAATCTTTCAATTGTTCTGCTACGCATTCGGTGTGATATCTTACATCAGTCACCTAGGACCAATTTTGTTACAGCATCTGGTACCTAAAAGTTACTACATTTCATGGAGCTGATCATTAGAGTCAACCACAGAACCTTAGGTAGGACCCTAAATTCCCCATAAGAGGCATTTAGGAGAGTTAGCTCCTTCACAGTAGCATCTGAAATAAACAAAAGGTCCCTTCAGTTAGCAACCAAAATGCAAAGCATAAAGAAAAATCTCAAATGCTTCTCCTTTCTTGGTTTTATAGTATCTGATTACAGGCAGCAGCAAGGCCCTCTGTCATTTCCCATTTCAGCCTACAATCACCTTCTGAAGAAGAAATTCAGATGCTTTTTCAAAGAAATGGACAGCCTTATTCTTTCCTTCCATGATGAAATGGCTGTGGAATTGGGAGATATTACTGCTCACCTTCTAATCAATAACGGTTGGAGTGCTTGGGAAGGAGAAGACTTAGGGCTGATAAATAAACTGCTTTCCTCCTCTTTTTGTAACTCATGTCCTTTTAATGAAATAGAGATTACCTAGGGAGGGCTGGTTAGAAGAGAGGGACTTCATATACAAGAAAGGGTGTGTTGCAGCCTCAGGAATGAGGGAGCTTAGTTATAGTCCCTGGGCCAAACACTCACATAGATTTTATGTGAAAGTGTGTTTGGGTAAAACTCATGGAGCATCTTAACAAAGAAAGCATTACCTTTGCTCCAAACTGCCTGCTGCTCAGAATGCAATTTGGGGAACTGAGAAGATGGGTGCTGGACCTTGTGCAGGCTAAGGAAGAAAAGGAACTTACGTCTTCACAGTGAGTATTTTAGAAACTATGTTACTATGAAAATTAATTTATTTGTTTTAGAAGAAAAGTCACTATCCCTGTGTTTTATTAGAAGTCCTCCCTGTTGGGTGTCTTGGTTTTGCTCAGATTAGACCTGTCAGAAGAAAAAGATTTCAGATCCCTGACTAGATTTTGACAGTAAGTCTGTCCCCTGATTCTCAGATTGCACAGATTCTGAATGTAAGCAGAAGCATGTTGTCAAGGAAAACAGAGATGAATTCACCAAACCTCTGGAACAAACTAGGAGTCATGGAATCACTGGGGTTGGAAGGGGCTCTAGAGATCTGTAGTCCAGCCTCCTGCACAGAGCAAGGTCAGGTACAGTAGGTTGCCCAGGACTGTGTCCAGATGAGTTTTGAATGTTTCCAAAGATGCAGACCCACAACCTCTCTAGGCAACCAGTTCTGATGTCTGACCACACACACAAAGAAAAAGTTTTTCCTTGTATCTAGTCAAAGATGGGTGAACTTGCTTCATTCAGGAACTGGTGCTAACAGTGTGAATACTTAACTTTTTATCTAAGAAATTCTGATGTCAAAGCTGGAAGAACCAATTAAATATTCCTTTTTCTGGACTTTGACCACTGTTGATTCATGTTGGTTTTTTATTTCAGTTTAGGATTTGGCTAAAGTCAAGCCGTCAACAGCCACTGGCATTTCAAAGCAGATCTGCTCCTGTTGTTCCACCTACAGCTATAGCATTTGCTCACAGCTCACAGAATTTTAAAGGTGTTCCACCACTGAACTGCAGATCTGCTTAAAATATGGCATATCACGTTACTATCTAAAATGGAATACTTCTAAATATATGGCTTCAGCTGAGGAAGCCAACTATGACTTCTTCATATTTTTTC